ATTGCGCTTTATGTGATCTACGATCGTCAGTCATTGCCAGGCATGCCAAGCTATCGACCATTTTCCCGTGCGAGTGATGACATTTCGAAGAAAACCACTTCTGATTTTGCCTTCCGTGTGAAAACAGTCGATTAGAGGTCCGTTACTTTTTTTCTCCAGGGAGTTCTTTTCCAAATGAGATCTGTTAACTTTTACACATTCACACATTATTCTCTGAGAACGTAGGCTTTATGAAACTTACCAGTAATTTTCCACCACATCCCTATGAAAATCTTGCTGCAGTTTATGCTTGCTTAAGTCACGATCAGCAAGCCTATGGTCGTTGTATACATGTCCTTTGAGCTGATTAAGTAAGCCAACAATTGAGTACAGCCTGTGCAGTTCGTTGCCCTTCTGCCTCTTCTCGGACTATCCAAAAGCGCTACCTTACCTGACAGTAAGGCATTGTTCACAGTCTGCGACCCTGACGAAACGGCGGTTGGGAGAAAAGCAAAAAATAGTCATCGATCGGAGAATCGCCAACCGCTAGTTTCGCCGAACCGCCGCGGTTCGGCGGTTGGGCGAAAAGCAATAGATGCGTATCGATTTCGCTGGCGAAAAACGCCACGATCGAGCTAGCGTTTCGTCGAAGGCGAAAAACGTCGCGGTTTGGCGAAACGCCCGTCGATTCGTATCAAAACCCTTTCGCCCAACCGCCAGTCGATACGTATCGAAAGCTTTTCGCCGAACCGCTGCGTTCCAGAGAAACGCTGGACCGCAGACAACGCCTAACAACGATGCGTGTCGATCGTGTCATCAACAACAGAATTGTGCTTGGCGATAGAGGGTTGCACCTGTAGCGCGGCTTCTGCATGTGAAGCCTTTTAATGACGTTTTCCTACCTCTTCACACGGCTTAAGGTCGCATATGAAATCAAAGGTCGCTGGGGATGGGTCTTCTGACTCGGAGTTCAAGTCTACTTCGCTGCGGCGTGTCAGGCGGGATGAGTTTGGCGCGGTGCCAAACCCGTTCTCACCAGTTGTTGAGCGAGCAAGTGAAGACTGTATCATATCGTTCGTATCACTCGTTTTCTACCAACTGTTGTCGCATACCCGCTTCAACAACTGGCAGAGAACGGGTTTGGCGCTGTGCATACTCACACTGCCTGACACACCCCTTCATCCGCAGCGAACAGGAGTATATTTCATTCCTTCGTTCCTTCTCAGTAATTTTTCCCTCGGCCTCTTTACGATCCTGATATGGCTTGGGCATATCACTTCACGACGCAAAATCCTCTTTCATAACCCCTTTTGTATGCGGGTTAGTGATGATGCTTATCGTCTCCTAAGCGTGACGTTGGTGCCCTCTCGGCTACACTGCGCTTGTTGAGTGTCACCTTATCTCACCTCAGCTATGCTCTGTCTTTTCAATGATGCCTTCTCTATGGCTTATCAATAGGGAAAGATTTGAGAAAGAGAACAAGGATTCACTCGCATCTACCCATGCTTACTTTTCTTTCTCTACGCACAACATCACTACTCAGAAGCAGTAGGTACAACGTGTGTAGAGAAGCGCTCGTGGTTTTGGAAGAGAAACGCGCTTCGAAGAATGGATGGCCTTCCATATTTCATTGTCTATCTGATCAGTGAGGGTAGCGGACTATGGAGTGAACCCATAGGGCTGTTGAGTTGGGTTTGCAGTAAACACGAGTGACCCCTATGTGAGAACGGTTACGTGCTTCGCGGTCAAAAATATGCGCTTCTTTTCAGCGTATGAGAGTTCGCGGCATCGGATCTGTCCGAGCTTGGATCGCGCTGATCGGACGCGGCGCAGTGAATCGGGATGCCATGTTCCGCGGAAAGTACTCGGCCCAGAGCCGCATGTCGAGAGCGCGAGAGCGCGAGAGAGTGTATTGAAGGATGCTCTGCGCCTGCTTCGTATATGTTAGCATCGCAATCGCAGCTCTGGCACATCTGCGAGACAAGAAAATACTACGACTGTTGGCAAGTTCATCTGCAAGGTTGTAGCTGAAATGGATGCCGTCAGGAGATCCAGTATCTGGTCATGCCGGACCCCTCACCTTGTGTTGAGGTCACGTTTGCGGCATCGTGCTAAAATTATATCTGTCGCTGAAAAGTACCACTTGGGTAATGAAAGAATGCATCGGTAGGTTTTGCTGGACTACTAGAACAGTAGCCGGCTTCCTGACGATGGTCTCGTCATCATTCTCAAGAAAGCCCAGTTGTGTCTGCGATAGAAAACGCTATCCAAGATTCAAAGTTAACTGACTCGTCTGGCCGTTACCCTCAATCCTACTATATAATAATCCGCTATGTGTGTCTGTGTGTGTGAATGTACTGTGTTGCTGTGTCACGAAAGTCATAGCGAGCGACTCGCAGAAAGAAATATGACAGCTCCAAGAAAGTGATATCACATGCAGGACCGGGAACACTTTTGGTGGTTCAGAGGTGATAACACCTTGATAAGATACGATAAGGGGCCGTAGAAGGGGAGGGTGACTGAATTCGTAGCGCAAGTTGCAGCAGGTGTGGGACCGTGATTTCAAGGAGTGATATACATGCGCAGGACAGGAACACTTTGCGTGCGATGACAGGAGTGATAACACTTGATAAAGATTCGATAAGGGGCCTTAAAAGGGGAGGGTGACCGAATTCGTGGCAAGTTGCAGCAACGGCGGGACCATGATTTCAAGTACTGATATGCCGTAGGGTGGGGCTGGCAGAAGCTGATAACAGTTGATAAGATCCGATAAGGGGCCTCGGAAGAGGAGGGTCATCAAATTCGTGGCGCAGGTTACAGCAACAGTGGGACCTCTGATCCGAGAGGCGATACAGGGTGATATGATAGTGATACGGGACGGGAGTGTTATTGGCGGGTACGGAAGTGATAGGAGCTAAAATTGACAAGGTAGCAGGAAAATCCGCTTCACCGCTCACAACAACAATGCGATCGATATGACTCAAGTATAACGATCTCAGTGATTCCAACAGAACTCATTCCTCACTGCTTATTAGTAACGACACGTGTACGACCGCTAAGCCAGCTCTATTCCAAATCAGTGGTTTGTTTACAAGAGATTACCACTCGTATGAACAGCAGCAACTGACTTTATCACTCTTACCGCAATTATCTTCCATCAGCAACTTCAGTGAGGGCCATTTAAAGGGTTCCACTGCTGAATGCGGTAGAGCATTCCAAAGCAAGACTTAGGAAGACAGATTGCATAAATTATAGCTGCTTCAGTGGCTGTCCAAACAGGCTGCACTATTTCCGTGTAGGTTATGAACGTACCAGTCGCGACTCGACTGCTGCAGCCGGCTTTCCTCCTTCTGGCTGATAGCGCGGGGGGCAGGGCGTTGCTAGCGCTTCTGACCCTTGACGCGAACAAGCGCGGCCTTTTCAGTTCTTGCCTGATGCTAGAATGATTCCCATCGAAACAGTGGTTTGGTCAACGATCCTTAACTTAGCACGCGGCAAATCCGCATGGCCCGGCGAAGCCGGGCCATGTCACAGAAGGAGGAGCGCCCGGCGACAGCCGGGCGATCCGACTGGTAACCAAATAATCAGCGAAATATCAGAAGTCTTCCGTTTTTCCAATGCGGTTCGTCATTGAACGTAGGAAGCGTTCTACCAGCTCTACCTATGGTTTCCAAATAAGGTGCCAACATATTAAGCGGGAGGGACCACGCGGCAAGCTGCTCTGCGCCCCCTCCTAGATAAATGTTTCAAACAGCCCATAAAATAATCCCAGCATATTTCGAGGGAAAAATCTATCAATTCATTGTGGAGTTGTGAAAGGCTATGAGCACTGCGTGCAACTTTTCCCATTTTCATCGTTTTGTATGGGTTCCGACTAATGAGTGACCATGTCCGCGCCTACACCGCAGAAAACTGCTTATGAAACTTTGGTGCTTAACAATCAACAACTCTGTTTTTACTGCCATTTATCTTGTAGGCGGGTGTTTTCTGCTCTCAAAAAATTACTGTTTCATGGGACTTCCTGTGAAAGCAATGTTCTGCGTCAGGCTGTCGCGCACCCTCAAGGTGGTCGCGGCGCTAATTGCACAGCCATCCAATCAAATTTTGAATGCCCGTTAGGAAAATTGTGACTAGCTATTCCAACTATTCAAGTAACATTCAAATCTCTATGTATTAACCCATTACATTTCAGTTAAGGTTAAGTAGGCTGTGAATAGATTTTGTATATCACAGATTCGTCTTCTATCATTCGATCTATTAATTGTTGGGCTTTCCGCCTATGCCGCCATTTAGCTCTACTCCAAAGACAAGCTAAATGCAGGTTCGCTCGCTTCATTGATTGCAAACATGTAAGAAGTTTATAACATGGAGTTGGACCTTCACTAATTATACCATTAAACTTCATCACATCGTTACTGGAAGGTCCCATTAGCCTTGATGATTCTTTATAGTTGATAGTAATGCCAGCGAACGCACTACGGTGGGTGTGTTTTTTGTGTAATACTTTCAAAAGAGATTTCCTTCCAGTCAGATGATCCTGCATTCTTGCCACCGGGAACTGAAGTTAGTGCAAAGTTCAAAGGAGCATTCTGCGAAGCTAAGATCAAAAAATTGTGCAAATCTGTAAAGTGTAAGGTAAGCAAGTCTGTTGTTCATTCTTCTTTAAAGATGGAAATTGCAAATCCGAATGTTAGGCTGACTTTGCACTTCATTTTCTTTGTGTCGCTTGTATGTGTTCTGAAGGCCATTTCTTCTTTTTAATGGGAACTGTATTGCGATGAAAAATCCCATTGAACTCATTCTCAGATATTTTTGAAAGACGAACGTAATACTCGCAAGGGAATGGTTTCAAATTCCCATGGAACTTTGAATGGAGACCTAGTACATCATAGAGTCTCGGATGCTGATTACGAATATGCAGATTAAAAGTGCTACGGGGACCTCCCAGACGAGTTCTGGGCGGTCAAAGTTTGCGAAAACTCAGTTTTGGCTCGTAAGAGCTGCTGATCGATAGTTAGGCAGTGCCACCGTGGCCTAGAGTAACGGACTGGCCTAGTGGCACTGCCTAACTATAGCTATACTATACTAACTGGTAACGGCCTCGTCTCAAATGCAATTGCTTGTGGGTTTGCATACCCGTTGGCGCAAAGGCTTTTGCTTCGTCTCCTATGGAGCTTTTACTCTAATTTTCGAAATTCTTCCGAGTTTACGACCCAGCAGAGCAAGTAGATCAAGTATATGACGTACTCGATCGAGTATGGATTTGGTCACTATCTGCCCTCTCTGAACTCATTACCCATCCGACAATTCGAAGTTTTGGCCAGAATCACAATTTGGCCAGAAACTCGTTCCTGGGGGTATTTTGACCCCCTGAGCCCGAATATCACATCCGTTTGACGCGAAAACGATCGGTTCCCTCGTTCACTTTGATGATCACAACAACGTGAAAGCAAGCGTTTTCTCGTCAAACGAATGTGATATTCGTGTTCAGGGGTCAAATTACCCTCAGGAATCAGTTTCTGGCCGAAACTTCGAATTGTCGGATGGGTAATGAGTTCAGAGAGGGCAGATAGTGACCAAATCCATACTCGATCGAGTACGTCATATACTTGATCTACTTGCTCTGCTGGGTCGTAAACTCGGAAGAATTTCGAAAATTAGAGTAAAAGCTCCATAGGAGACGAAGCAAAAACTTTCGCGCCAACGGGATGCAAACCCACAAGCATTTGCCTTTAAGCGAGACCGTTACCACTAGGCCACGGTGGCACTGCCCAGCTATCGATCAGCAGCTCTTACGAGCTGAAAACTGAGCCCGAGTTTGAGCTTTCGCAAACTTTGACGGCCCAGATCTCGTCTGGGAGGTCCCCGTAGCACTTTTAATCTGCATATTCGTAATCAGCATTCGAGGCTCTATCGATGTACCTAGGTCTCCATTCAAAGTTCCATGGGAAGTTCAAACCATTCCCTTGTCAGTAGCAAACTTCGTGGACATATTTGGCAGAAGCCTTGTCCTCGGGAGCATTTCGACCCCGGGGCAAGAACATCACATCTGCTCAGCCAGAAACCGCTTGGCGGCCCCGCCACAGGGTCCGGCGCTAAAAATACCTTGAATCAAAAAAAGAAGCCGCTGAAAATTGGATTCCCGGGGTGGTTTGTGCTCCTGAACACGATAGCACATCTGCATGGGGTGTCATGAAAGTTAAGGGTGGACTGATGGGGGGGGGTACATGTGGTAGTGCTGGCTGTTCATCCAGCCTAGCACACCGCTCGATTTGAAACCGACTGAGTCCGTGGTACACGCACTGGAGTCTCAACAGGCATATACTGTCGTCACTTGTCGCGCACGCGGGTTTTAGGCTAAGCGAATCTGACATTCCTGTTCGGTCGAACTATCTCTGGAGACGTCCTTCCTTGCAAGTAATCAGGCTCTCAGTTCTAACAAAATTCTACTCGAGCGGGGCTTCACAGTAAACAACGAAGGCGCTGTGACCATCATAAGTTGTATTACTGACACCTTCCTAGTTGCCCCGCCCATTAAAATTCGAAGGTCATTTGCTATCACGATCCGTTTTTTTCGTTCTTGGACGGTGTTAGTATTGAATGACGCGCAGAAGCGATTGTTCATCTAGAAGTGGCAGTATATCGCTTTGTTGGCACGAAACGAGCAGGTGGAGAACTCGTCCAGAGAAGCTGTAAGGTCGTCACTTAGGGCGTTTTCTGTGTTTTCTTTTCGTTTCTTTTTTCTGCTGGAGAGTGCGAGGTTTGTATTCAAACGTCTGAGCCCACCTTCAAAAATGATGAGTTTGCGTCCAGGGTTTGTAATAACAATGGTTGGCACGTTCATCAGTAGTGAAAAGAAAAATCAAAAAAATATGGAAAATGACTCAAGTAGAACCCAATGAAGAGCAACGGTCGTACCCGCATAAGGGGAGTAAGTGGCGTGGTCGTACGAGTTCTCACTTGTTGGTGCCAACTTTTCCTCTTTACCTCACCCTCACCATTCGCAGTGCAGAGAATTAAAAGCGGAACAACCGCACAATCAGAAACCATTAGAAATGGACCTTGCGCGCTGTGACAGTTAGGTGAGCGGAGAGGCAGCCTCTTCACGAGCGAACGATGCTATCTTCTCTTATTTTCGAACTAGAATTTGTACAACCTCTATCCCTTGTACGGAGGGTCACAATATCTAGAGAAGGCAGGGGAACATGAATGAACGAAAATTGTGCACTCTGATGTGCAATTTTCCTCATTATCGCAATGTACATTCGGCGAAATACTGCTTCTCACCTCTTTGTTAAGATTGCCGCTCATACAGGTCGTAGTTTTGCTTGGTTAGATTTTTGAGCGCTGATAAACCTGAGGTTATTTGAACGCTCATTTAAAAAAGCCTGAATAGTCTCCATTCGAGTATAATTGCACTCATTTCACTGAGTTCTGCGTCCTTTCGGCAAGCGAAGGTCCATGTCTCCGTTCAGTATATCTAGTCTACGCAGTGGTTCTCTCAAATGCCCCCCTAAAGCGAGTCCATGAGTGCAGATTTCTACATCAGGATATTTAAGATTGGTTGTAATTCATTGCAGTTGCTGTCAATATACAGCTTGGTTCATTGCGGATGGAGGGGCGTGTCAGACAGGGTGGGGCGTCAGATTCCTTCTCCACCAGCTCTTCTTCAATGGGGTAGGGACATCTGTTGGCGAAAAATGACTGATACGAATGACTAGATACAGTAATGTCTAGTTGCTCTCTCCAGTAGCTGGCCGCGCCAAGCTTATCCCGCCTGACACGCGAACCGGATCTCATGCTGATGATTAATCTTATAATTCAAAAATCACTCTTCTACTCTTGCTGTCTTCAGGTCCTGCTCAAGGAGGCCCCATTTGGGTCATTGGTTGTCGAGGAACACCTTGTCAGAGGAACCCTAGAAGTAAATCAAAACGTAGATGTTACTCATGGGAAAAATCTACTAAAGGGTGTTATTCAACATGTAAAAGATTGTAGCACGTATCACGTTGGTAAGTTCAGTCCTTAACATGTCCTGATGTGCGCTTATTTCGCTGTATGCTTTTAGATCTCTTTATTTCTGATTTGTAGTGTTTAATGATGGTGACGAGAAAGTATTACGACGTACTCAGATGTGCCTCAAAGGAGCGAGACATTTTGATAGTGAATCAAATTTGGACCAAATGCCGTTATACAATCCTGAACAGTTTTGTGCTGCTCCCAAGCCACCAACAAAAAAGAAGAAAACAAAGAAGTGAGTTTTGTGACGCATTGCTTAGTTTCTAGTCTCCGTTCATAATTCCAGGGACTGCTGGTCTCGTACCGTTGGGAGACGGTCGAAACTACCGTATTTTGCCACTCCGCCGCGCGCAGCGATATGTGCGGCGTTTTCTTAATTTGCATTAGTCTGTATTAATCTGTCGCTTGAAGGCCGAATCCGACGTAACTTTGACATCTAGATTTTTGGCCATTTTCCACTACATTGTCCATTGCCGCCATTTATGGCCTAGAAACAACTTCATTTGCGAGTATTTCGTCATTTCGCACGTGACGCCTACCAGCGCGGCGAATTACGATTGTCTTGTCACATACCCGTATCGCACCTACGATTATGCGTCAGCAGTCATATTTGATTAATAAGATTTTAGTAAAATTTTTACATAGTATTTTGATTGTTAGATTTCCTTTACTACACTTTTCTTATCTAAGTTTAGAGGGGGTGACTCAAAGGAAGTAGCTTAGTTTCCGTTTCGCACGTGCCCTTAGACGGAAACCAATTTACTTTTATATGAACTTAGTAAAGGTTAGTAAATGTTCTTTTGAGTTAATTTAGTTGTTCTTTTTGTACGAAATTTACTTGTTCAAATTTCATGTTACAAATTTTATGTTACATATGTAGCTTCTTTCTGTCACATAAACATATTTACACACAATACGCAAAAATCTATGTATGTGTATGTGCAAACACAACAGAAAGAAACGTTCAATTGTTAATTAAAATTTTGAAATTTTTGAAATTTTCCAAAATTCTGAACTCACCGGTTCTCCTCCGTGAACCATTTATGATGTTGAATAAGTAAAAATAAGTCCATACGTTGTTTTCATTAATAGGAGTATAATATTATAATACTATCTGAGGATGATAATAATTACATTATTCGAAAAAGATTGTATAATCTTTCGCTCTGAAGCTGAAAATAATGCGCCACGTAAGAACGTGTTATTTGAGAGAGTGCTAGGTAAACCTAAGAAAACCTTGTGCGTTCTCACAGAATGTTAGCGCAAAGTTCCTTCTGGAAAACGTCTGTATATCATTTATCTTGAGTTTTTATAGAACTAAACGAAAAAAAGAAGATGACAGTGAGGATGATGGTGGAAAGAAGAGGAACAAAAGAGCAGCTGCATCTGCTGCTTCAGTAGCGATTGGAGAAATGGATCAAGTGCGTTGATATAATTTCCTTTCGACTTTCCATTTTTGCCTTTTTTTTTTGTTCCTTTCCTTTGTTTTTGTACCACATTGTGGCGTTACCTCGAAAATTTCATTCAGTAGGAAGTTTATTCAAAATGGCAGTGCGTGATTGCCAGAGAGGTAGATTACTCGCATGTACAAGGTGTGCAGGTCGGCAGCCCTGGAGGTGTATTTTTCGCCAATCGGAAGAGTGTAACATTGAGGCTAAGGTCTTTTATAGCTCGATATTTCACATGTTCCGCTTCTGAAATGTCGGTCGCGGCCTACGCGATGCTCGACTCCCAGAGATAGGGTTGTTAAATTTGATTTGAGCCATGAAGGTCCTGTTTGAGTGAGACTGTAGCTATAGGAACTGATGTATACTGTGACATCGGCACAGTTCGCCGAAGGGGGGGGGGCATTTTGCACTTTTGTTACTTCCCATGCCCCTCCTCCCTCATCTCCGTCGTTGGACTGTAACGTGGCATTCCCTCGACAAGCGCTCCATCGACCTACATCAGATTTACGAAGCACTACTTTTGACATGGTCATGTAGCGTATTGGAAAGCGGGCGGAGATGTAAGGAAACTCGTGCAGTCATAAGCCTCCAGCATATTTGTAACGCTTTTCGGATCGGCGAGATGGAGTGCGCTACGGGCCTGTTAATTGTGCAAGCGGAGAATCCATCCGTCAGATAATCGCGCAGTATGTCTTTAGGCTCCTATACATCGTCTTTTGGCTATCCTTCGTTATTGAGGGTGTTCTATGTTCCAGGGTGATACAGAAGGTAGCGGCGATGCTGACATGTCTGGAAGTGAAGACGATTCAAGTGAAGCAGAAATTGAGGTTGAGAAGGAAGATAAGAAAAAGAAAGACAAAAAGGAGGACGAAGAGAAGAAGGACGAAACCAGTCGGAAATCTCAGCAGAACCAGAAGTCAGAAGCAAGTCGTTTGGAAGAACTTCGTGAAAAAGTAGGTTATTGGCGTTTGTTTGGATTTTGTCCCAATAGAGGCGTTACTTTTATGAAACGTCTTGCAGCTTCGTGATGGAGTTGTTGTTTGCGTTTATGAAGACTCACAGCATCGAGGCAAATGGTTTCCAGCAGTTGTCGTCAATCCCAAAGCATATAAGTTGGTTCTCTAGATTGCTTCGTGATTTTGTCCTGATACATAGTAAATATAAACGCTCTAGCGTTGATATTTAAGGGATGGTAGCGGCAAATCCAAAAATCCTGGCAAAAACGAGGTTCCCGTTAGAAGTTTCCAGAATGGGAAATAGTATGTCTTCAATCCTTGTGTTGCTCAGTCCTCAGTAAAATTATATTGTGCCCATAATTTTGTAATTCCAGTTCGCAAGTTTTGTTGGCGAACTTGACTCTTTTCGAAGACCAGCCAATGACTAAGAAAGCTCTTGATTCGATGACTAATGTGCTACGGACAGCAGTAGATCGCGCAAATTCTTTCCAGAGCAAAGGTGAGTCTGCTTTTTACTTTCGATTTTTTCTTTTGTTTTTTTACTTTTCTACTATGTAGTGCCACCTTCTCCATTTGCAATTAATTGAAATTATCAGTGCTCTTTAAATCGCCTGGAGTTCAAAGCAAAAACTTTCTTTACTTTGTTTCTTGAACTTTGTTTCTCGTTGTTATATCATATACCTTGATCATCTCAATTTTTTGCTTCCGCTCCCATTTATTAGTCCTTCTTCCGTCTTTTCGTTGTGATTTCAACCTCATCTTCTGGAGCCACTTGAGAATCATAGGAACACCTCCCATTGAAAGCTGCTATGGGTTTGTACACATGCAGCTATTGAACATTACTTTGTCATCTAACAAGGGAATGGTTTGAACTTCCCATGGAACTTTGAATGGAGACCTAGGTACATCGATAGAGCCTCGAATGCTGATTACGAATATGCAGATTAATATACAGAATATGCAGAAAGAATATACAGAA